GAAGTGGGCCCACACAGGTCTAGGCAGGGTGAAAGGCATTCAAAGTCTGTAGATCCCTTATTCCTGTGCCTAGGCAAAGGGGCTGTACCTGCCCTGAGGTCCTGGTTTAGGAGAGCTGGCAGACTATTTTTCCTGTTTGTTATTTGCTAATTTGTTCCCTCTTCAAAGCTGGGAGAATGGCTCGGGGCACTTGATGAGACCCATTTCTGGCCCAGGGACATGGCAATCGCTGAAGCCAGCTGGAGCTGGAACTGCTCTGGCTGGAGCAGAGCAGGGAGGGGATGAGTGGATGGGAAGGAAGTACTTCTCAGAGGGGAAACGGTTTTTATTTTATTTTATTTTTAATTATTGTATTTTAAGTGAAAGTTTACAATTCAAGTTAATCTCTCATACAAAAATTTATACATACATTGTTATGTGACCCTAATTGCTCTCCCTATACTGTGACAGCACACTTCTCCTTTCCACCCCCAGCTTCCCGTGTCCATTCAACCAGCTCCTGACCCTCTCTGCCTTCTCATCTCACCTCCAGACAGGAACTGCCCATTTAGACTCATATATCTACTTGAGTTAAGAAGCACACGCTTCACAAGTATCATTTTATGTCCCACAGTCCAGTCTAATCTTTGTCTGAAGAGTTGGCCTTAGACATGGTTTTAGTGCTGGATTGACAGAGTGTCTAGGGGCCATGATTTCTGGGGTTCCTCCAGTCTCAGTCAGACCATTAAGTCTGGTCTTTTTACTAGAATTTGAGTTCTACACCCCACTTTTCTCCTGCTCCATCAGGGACTGTCTGTTGTATTCCCTGTCAGGGCAGCCATTTGTGGTAGCCGGGCACGGAAAGGGTTTTTTGATCCCGAGCAGTAGGTTAGATGCTTGCAATTAACTTCTGCACATCTAGCGCTGCTTACCCCTGGCTCCACAGGTTTGTGCAAACTTTCCACTGCTTGGTTTCTCCTGGTGTGGAAAATGCATCCGAAGTGCCACTGCTTGCCTCAGCCCGTGTGCGCTGGTCAATCCAGCCTGCAAGGTGCTGGCCAAGTCAGGTCTGGCAAATCCTTGCTGCTTCTGAACTTTTCTGTCTCTCCCCCGGCTGCTCAGTCTGACTCCTCAACTTTGTATTTGATGTTCAGGACTCCTAGATTGTCACTTGTTTTTTTGGGTCTTTGTTGTAAGAAGGACCACAAGAAGCATCTGACTACTCTACCATCTTGGCCTCACCTCAGATAGTTTTTCTTAAGAAATAAAACTTTGTTAGAGTTGAAGCCTTCTTTGTGCTTCTCTCTGATGTCATTTCTTCCTTTGTTCCCCAGAGGTGACCACTAATATAAGTTTAATGTTTATGATTCCCATGCATGCTTTTATAATTTTGCTTCATATCTATGAATCCATAAACATATTTAGTATTATTTTAAAATATTGGTAATGTGAAAGGAATGGTAATAGACTGCAGCTAAATTACTTCACTTAATATTATGTTTTTGATAATCATTCATATTGCTATATGTAGCTCTGGTTTACTCATTTGTACTACTGAATAGGTGAATCAATAGATCATTATTTATCTATCTTTCCATTGACCAACATTCAGATGCTGTATTAATTTTCTAGGGCTGCTGTAACAAAGTCAACTAGGTGACTTAAAACAACAGAAATTTATTCTCTCACAGTTCTGGAGGCTAGAAGTAAAATATCAAAGTGTCAGCCAGTCCATGTTCCCTCCTAAGTCTCTAGGGGAGTTTCCTTCCTTGCCTCTTGCAGTTTCGAGAGCCCCAGATGTTCCTTGGCTCGTGGCAGTATGGTAAGCTGCCTGTGTTTTCACGTGGTTGTTTTCCCTCTGTGTCTGTGTCTCTTCTACTCTTCTTATAAGGACACAATCAGATTGGATTAGGGCCCACCTTACTCCAGCATTACCTCATGTGAACTTAACTAATTACGTGTGCAAAGATGCTGTTTCCAAGTAAGGTCATATTCACAGGTACCAGAGATTAGGTTCAAACACATCTTTTGGGGAGACACAAATCAACCAATAACAGGTAGTTTCCAAGTTTTTATTTTTATAATCAATGTTACAGTGAACATTTGTATTTCTCTCATCTGTACATGTGCAAAAGTGTCTCTAAGTATACGCCAAGGAATGAAACACAGTGCCATAGGGCTTCTTTAACTTCTCTGTTTTTTATATAATTGTGATACAATCTTTAAAAAATATAAACCATTATTCAAAAATATTTTATTGAACATCTAAGTATGCCAGGATGCAACAGTAAACAAGACAGAAAAAATCTCTATTGTCTTGTATCTTATATTCTAATGGTGGAAGAATAACTAAAATAGTATAATTTGAGAGAGTGCTAAGTGCTAGAGAGTGAATCATGCCATTCTTCTGGCTCAGGATCTTCAGTGGCTTTCCATTGCATTTATAGGCCTCTAAGACTTTGTACCATCTGGCACATACATCCCTTTTCCACTGTCCATTTGGCTCCCTGTGCTTTAGCACATTGACCTTTGAGTTCTTGGAACTTGTAAGCTTTTTGCCTGCTTCAGAGCCCTCACATGCATTTTTCCATATTTCTGGAAGGTTCTTCCATAATTCTTTGCCTGGAAAATTCCTACTCATGATTCGTCTTGGCTTACTTGTTCTATTTTCAGAGAGACCTTCCTTGACTCCCATAAAAATAGATCTCTACTGTTCGTCTCTCTCATGGCACTTATTCTTTTCCATGATATCACTTACCACAATATATAATTATACACTTACATGTTGTCTGCCTTATCTCTTAGATTGCAAGTTCTATGAAGGCAGGGATCATGCCTCTTTTGCTTCCTGCTATATCTCCTAGTTAATGTCCTGGCACATAGTAGTTACTCAGTAAATTATTTTTTTAAAAATTAATACAAATTAGTGCTTTTCTGAAAGCTTGGTTGCAGGCTCATTTTGAGACTGCGGTTTGGTTTAGTTTAGATTACAATTTTCCTTTCTCCTCTATTCTCCCTTCCTTGACTAAGGATTTTAGGGTGGCTTCCATGAATCCCCAGTTGCCACTGATTCCACTCCAACCCATGGCGAGCCCATGTGTGTCAGAGTAAAACTCCATAGGGTTTTCAATGGCTGATTTTCGGCCTTTCTTCCTAGTCTGTTTTAGTCTGGAAGCTCCACTGAAACTTGTTCGGCATCATAACCACATGCAGAGGTGGCTGTGCATGAGGTGTGTTGGCTGGAATTGAACCAAGTCTCTCACATGGAAGGGGAGAAGTCTACCACTGAACCACCATTACCCTACTCGCTAGCCTTTAGTCAGATAAAATTTATTCTCCAGATGGTGGTAAGTTGAAAAGCTTTGTTTTTGTTGTTTGTTGCCTCCTTTAACCAAGGGGTATGGAGAACACTGGGAGAAGCTGTATTCCAGCCCCTAGCTTGAAGTCGTGAGCCTGGATCCAGTTTATCATCTTCCTTGGAGCATTTTCAGTGCCTGTTATCCTCTCAGTAGCCAATCTTTTTTTTTTTTTTTAAATGTATGTATTTGACCATTTCAAAGTAAATTTGAAGGTATCATGACATTTCACCCTCCCACCCCCATACTCTAGCATGTATATCCTAAAAACAAGGACAATCTCCTACGTAATTACAATACAACTACCACATCCAAGAAAGTTTATATTGATACAATGTAACATTTATCAAACGTAAAGCCCATGTTGAACTTCCTCCAATTTTCCTTCCAAAAATGTCCTTTATGGATCTTTTAAAATACAATTTCCAGTGATAGATCACACATTTTATTTGGCTTTCAGGTCTCTTAAGTCTTCTTTTACGTCAGTACAGCCCGTGGGTTTATTTATTTTTAATTTTGTCTCTCATGCCATTGACATTTTTGAAGAGTCCAGCTCAGTCTTCTAGTTGAATAACCAATAATCTATACTTTCATTGTTTTTCCCCGCTGTATGATTAGATTCTTACTACACATTTGATAAGAATACTCCATAGGTGATGTATTCTTCCTGCTGCTTCACGTTAGGAGGCGCATGATGTCATTTTGTCTCCTTAATGGTGATGCTAAGTTTGGTTACTTGTTTAAAGGTGGTGTCCACCAGATCTCTCAACTGTAAAGATGTCTTTTGTAATGAATAAGTCATCTTTGGGGTGATATTTTGAGACTGTGTGAACATCTTGTTTAACAATGACCTTTTAGCCAGTGATATTGACATTCATTGATAATCCTTATTTGCATCCATTATTATGTTGGTAGTTGCAAAATAGAGACTATATATTTCTATTCTTCCTTCTACATTTATTAGCTTGCATTCTATAAAGAAGATTTTTATCTCCTACCCCACTTTTTTGGGGGGTGGTGTGGGGAAGGATTATTTCTGAAGTATCACTATGGACTCATAGGTTCTTTTTTCACAGGATTATCTTGACCAGAGGTAAAGTAGTGCTTTTCTGCATTTTTTTATTGTGTTTTAATATATGTTTCTCATGTATTTTTCTAATATGATATTTCATAGCCAGATGTCTTTGCGAAATAACATATTTTAATAAATAGCATACTAGGGGGTTCTCTTAAAAACACTTGACCCTTTCCAAATTTGGTATGTTGTAGTCAGGTTTAAAGTCTTTCTCATTTAGCATGGTAAAATTTATGGCAATGATTTCCTATCATTTTATTCCTTTGAGTTCAACATGAAACCAAGTCTGTTACTGTGATTAAAAATCAAGGGTACAAGTTCCCAGTGATAAACCAAGCCAAAACCAAACCCATTGCCATCGAGTTGATTCGACTCATAGTGACCCTATAGGACAGAGTAGAGCTGCCCCATAGGGTTTCCAAGTCTGTAACCTTTACAGAAGCAGACTGCCACATCTTTCTCCCATGGAGAGGCTGGTGGGTTTGAGCTGCCAACCTTTCCTCTCAGTGATAAAGAATCATATAAAGAAATCCACTTCACTGTCCTTCTCGTTGACAATGCAGTTAGTGCTTTCTCTGTCTTATTTTTAGGATCGAAGATTCAATGATGAAATTGACAAGCTAACTGGATACAAGACAAAATCACTATTGTGCATGCCTATCCGAAGCAGTGACGGCGAGATTATTGGTGTGGCTCAAGCGATAAATAAGATTCCTGAAGGTACTCCATTTACTGAAGATGATGAAAAAGTAAGATTTCATGCCTTTTGTGACTTGTACTTTGCTTTTTGATCATTGATTGCTATTCTTTCTGAAAAGCACAGGAATTATGTGAATAGCTGTTGGATTAGCCCATTCATGAGTCAAAGAGCTTTTCCTCATGTTATACAAAGTGTAATGGGAGTTTTTTGATATTTCATAGGATGTGGTATAATTGAAAATAATCGCTTCATCTTTTTCTTACCTCACTTTTTATTACAAGCCTCAGTAGTATTCTTGTTATTCCCTGGTCTTTATTTTCCTCATAAGTAGGCTTTTTAATTGAGGATCACACCACTACTACCTGTGACCCAGGGAAGATAGGGATTACTGTGTTTCAGAAACGCAGCACTTTCTCTTGTATTTTCATAACCACTAGGAAGAATTGTTTTCTCTGTTCTTATATAAAAGTCTCACTAAAATGAATGCTATTTAATTGTTATTCCAAATTGCTAATAAAAAAGAACATTATTTTTGTCCCTGAAGAGCAGTTGACCTTGGTAGAAGTGATGTATTTTTTGCTCTGACATTCTAAGTTCTTTCACCAGTAGTTTATTCATCAGTTTCTATTCAAAAAGAGACTTCAAGGAACTGAAGTTTGGCTTTGAGGCACTCACTTCCATATTGAATAAGATCTGGAAGAAAATTTATAAAATTTGTGGCAAAAACAAATCTCAAATTTCTTAAATTTGATAATTACTCTTCCCCTATTAAAGAAAGAAATTAAAAATAAACTTTATAATTTAAACTTCTGGATGGGGCTGCTATTTGCCAGTACTAATCACTAATGTGGAGCCCTGGTGGTGCAGTGGTTAAGAGCTATGGCGAGCTACAGCTGTTACCCAAAAGTCGACAGTTCAAATCCACTAGATGCTCCTTGGAAACCCTATGGGTCAGTTCTACTCTGTCTTACAGGGTCACTATGTGTCGGAATCAACTTGATGGCAACGGGTAAGGTAATCGCTAATGCAGCAAATTAAGGCAAATATTCTGATAAAAAAGGTCAACATAAAACATGATTTATAAGGAAACAAGAAGATTTTTAAGGGAAGAGAGTCCTTTATTGAGGTAATTTCTTTAGTGGAATTTGAATAGCCCAAATCTCGGTAAAGGTTTATAAACTCTTAGAGCATGATAGGACTTCAGTTTACTGAATTTTGTATCAATTCGGTAAACTACTACTGTGTGCAAGGTTATTGTGTCAGCAATCATAGGAGTCCCAAAGATAAATTATACACGTATCATGCTGAGACAAGAGGGAAGGATCAGTAACAAGATGTTCTAGGACATGCTATGAGTGTCTGGGAAAGGGAGGATTATTTTCTCTTGGAGGAGCTGAAGAGGCTTCTTGGAAGAGGATGCATTTGAGCTGACCTCTAAAGAGAGAATGGACCCCCTTCAGACAGAACCAGGTGAGAAGGAGAGGACATTTGGAAACATTTATAAATGCAGGGCACCTCAGTCAGCATGCAGATGGTTCCATGGAATGTACAGATAAAGCAAAGATTCATTTTGTGTATTTTGTACCATGGATGACAGAGTTCTGTCATAATGTGCCCTTATAAGGATTTAGACAGAAGGATTTAGGTTTTGTGTCTTTTCAAACATACCAACCTCATGCCCATGACATTCCCCAAACACTTTATACATAGATAATAGCCTTGCCTTCATCTGCCTTCTTGATTTAAAAGAATCCTGTTATATATTTAGTTCTCATCCTTGATTCTCTTTACAATATGTTTGTGTTCTGGACTTTTCTCAATGAATTTATGCTGACGACATAGACCTTCATGAGCTTTGAGTGATTTAAAGAAAATATTTGCACAGGGCTTTGTACCTGTGTTCAACAGCATCAGTGTTTTGTTGTTGTTGTTAGGTGCTGTCAGGTCAGTTCTGACTCATAAAGAGCCTGTGTACAACAGAATGAAACACTGCCCGGTTCTGCGCCATCCTCACAATTGTTGTTATGCTTGAGCCCATTGTTGCAGCCATTGTGTCGGTCCATCTCATTGAGGGTCTTCCTCTTTTTCGCTGGCCCTCTACTTTACCAAACATGATGTCCTTCTCTACGGACTGGTCCCTCCTGATAACGTGTCCAAAGTATGTGAGATGAAGTCTCACCATCCTTGCTTCTAAGGAGCATTGTGGCTGTATTTCTTCCAAGACAGCCTTGTTCATTCTTCTGGCAGTCCATGGTATATTCAATACTCTTTGCCAACACCATAATTCAAAGGCATCAATTCTTCTTTGGGCTTCCTTATTCATTGTCCAGCTTTCGCATGCATATGAAGAGACTGAAAATATCATGGCTTGGGTCAGGTGCACCTTAGTCTTCAAAATGACATCTTTCCTTTTTAACACTTTAAAGAGGTCTTCTGCAGCAGATTTGTCCAGTGCAGTACATTGTTTGATTTCCTGACTGCTGCTACCATGGGTGTTGATTGTGGATCCAAGTAAAATGAAATCCTTGACAATGTCAGTCTTTTCTCCATTTATCATGATATTGCTTATTGGTCCAGTTGTGAGGATTTTTGTTTTATGTTGATACGTAATCCTTAGTGAAGGCTGTAGCCTTTGATCTTCATCAGTAAGTACTTCAAGTCCTCTTCACTTTCAGCAAACAAGATTGTGTCATCTGCGTATCACAGATTGTTAATGAGTCTTCCACCAATCCTGAAGCTACATTCTTCATATAGTCTACCTTCTCAGATTATTTGCTCAGCATACAGACTGAATAAATATGGTGGAAGGGTGCAACCCTGACATACACCTTTTTTAATTTTAAACCATACAGTATCCCCTTGCTCTGTTCGAAGGACTACCTCTTGGTCTATGTATAGGTTCTGTATGAGCACAATTAAGTGTTCTGGAATTCTCATTCTTCACAGTGTTGTCTATAATTTGTTATGATGCACACAGTCGAATGCCTTTGCATAGTCAATAAAACACATGTAAACATCTTTCTGGTAGTCTCTGCTTTTAGCCAAGACCTCTGTGACATCAGCGATGATATCCCTTGTTCCATGTTCTCTTCTGAATCCGGCTTGAATTTCTGGCAGTTCTCTGTTGATGTACTGCTGCAACTGCCTTTGAATGATCTTCAGCAAAATTTTACTTGCGTGTAATATTAATGATATTGTTTGATAATTCCCACACTCTTTTGGATCACTTTTCATTAGAATGGGCACAAATATGGATCTCTTCCAGTCAGTTGGCCGGGTAGCTGTCTTCCAAATTTCTTGGCATAGATAAGTGAGTACCTCCAGCACTGTATCCATTTGTTGAAATATCTCAATTGGTATTCTGTCAGTTCCTGGAGTCTTGTATTTCTCCAGTAACTTCAGTGCATCTTGGACTTCTTCCTTCAATACTACCAGTTCTTGATCATATACTGCCTCCTGAAACGTTGACCAATTCTTTTTGGTACAGTAACTCTGTGTATTCCTTCCATCTGCTTTTGATGCTTCCTGTGCCATTCAAAATTACCCATAGAATCCTTCAAAATTTCAACTCAAGACTTGAATTATTTCTCCAGTTCTTTCAGCTTGAGAAATGCCTAGTGTGTTCTTCCCTTTTGGTTTTCTAACTCCAGGTCTTTGCACATTTCATTATAATATTTTACTTTGTCCTCTCAAGCTGCCCTTTGAAATCTGTTCAGCTCTTTTACTTCATCATTTCTTCCATTTGCTTTAGTGACTCTGTGTTCAAGGGCAGGTTTCAGAGTCTCTTCTGACATCCATTTTGGTCTTTTCTTTCTTTCCTGTCTTTTTAATGACCTTTCACTTTCTTCATGTATGATGTCCTTCATGTATGCCCTCCCATAACTCCTCTGGTCTTTGGTCATTAGTGTTCAATGCGTCATACTGTTCTTGAGATGGTCTTCAGATTCAGGTGAGATATACTCAAGATCATATTTTGGCTCTCGTGGGCTTGTTCTAATTTTCTTAAGCTTCAACTTGAACTTGCGTAAGAGCAATTGATGGTCTTTTCTGCAGTCAGCCCCTGACCTTGTTCTGACTGATGATATTGAGCTTTCCCATCATCTCTTTCCACAGATGTGGTCGATTTGATTCCTGTGTTTTCCATCTGGTGAGGTCCATGTGTATAGTCGTCATTTATGTTGTTGAAAAAAGGTATTTGCAGTAAAGAAGTTGTTGCAAAATTCTATCATGTGATCTCCGGAGTGTCGTTTCTATCACCAAGGCCATATATTCCAATTAGTATTCCTTCTTCTTCATTCCAACTTTTGCATTCCAATCACCAGTAATTATCAGTGCATCTTCAACAGCATCAGTATTTAGGTTTATTGAAAACGAAGACCTGGGACCAAGTCTCATCTCAGCTAATGACAAGCATCCTGCTTTGGATGAGCCACTTAATCTCTGAATCTGAGTTTCCTCATTTGTCAGCTATACTCTCCACCCTGCTATGATACGATGATTAAATAAGATCATAAATGAAAAGTACTTTGCAAAATGTAAGAAACTAGGCAACTGTGAATCATAAATTTTATTTAAAAAATAATATATTTCTAACGAGTTTTAAAATGTTCTTCTATATTTGTTACCAGACATCTTATTTCTTAGATTCATTTTCATTTGAGTATTTCCTTTCTCCAATTTTTAAATTTTTTCCTTCTGCCATTATCCCATGTGCCCATGGTAGTCTTAGCTCCCATCCTCTCCAAAATGTTATCGCTCTTTGCTCCAAGAATTCCATGTATTATAAATCAAATAGCAGTGACAAAGAAGAAAAACTGAAAACACAATCTAGTAATGACGAATGGGAAAGAACAAGATCTAGATACATCTTCCAAATTAGGGAAGACAGTGTACATAATGACTGCACATAGGCCCTATAGTGAGTCCAGTTGAATTGAACTTCCATCTCTGCCATGGCCCGTGTGACCTTGGGCAAATTACTTAACTACTCTGTGTCCCAGTGTCCTCCTCTGAGAAGAGGAGTGATAATATAGTACCTATCTCATAAGG